ACCTTGACATTGAACAAGACGCGGCGCGGGCGGGCGGGCGTACGCCCGTGCCAAGAGCAACGCGGCCCACGGTGCAGCCGCCCGGCGGCGCTCGCCATCAGAGAGGCCCAATGAAGACAAACTGCGCGAAACGACCGCGCCAGCACAAAGCGGGAATCCAGCGGCTGCCAGCTCCGGCACAAAACGCTCAGAATTGCCACTAAGATGGTCGCTGTAACTGCGGAAAGAGCAATAAATTCGTTTTCCTATGCCGCTACAACTCAATTGACCGCCTTGACCACATCCGTGCATTCCCAGTGCTGCCGGAGATTTTCACGTTGGTGGAGACAGGCTCTTGGCGGGTATGGAGAATCACTTCATAGGTCTATCTGCAAAGAGCGAGTTTGGATGAGATGGGGAAAGAGAGGCCAACGCTGACCCTTTGATGCTTCTCCAGTGACCGTCTGGAGTAGATCGCAAGGAACTGGGGAGAAGCAGAAGAGCCGGACGCGGCCGATGGAGTCGAAAACCCACCGGCGGGGAATCGATCCTTGAACCTCCTGTTTTACGTTGTTTTAATTGCGGAGTCGGAGTTCATATGTTGGAGCACGATAGCAATAATTTTAGCGACTCGAGGACGTTAGAAATACTATGTTAAATTCTGAAATGCGTAGAGATATTTCTTACATCATAATACAAATTTTGTAAATAAATCAGAACCCAGCCCATTAGGACAATGGAGGAGAGGGAATAAATAGTGCATGGTGTACGTATTGCAAAGGAGGCAAATCAGAAGCCTAGGCAAGGGCGTAACCAGGAATAACCAATAAAGAGGAAGTTTCTGATAAATGTACCAAAATCGACGTTCATGTTCAAGTGATAAAATCCCTTGCTCACACCATTACACTGTATTAAAAATATTTTCATAAACCTAAGAGGTTTTTATTTACTAGCATATATTTTCGATTTGGACCATTTTTAGACCATCTTACAAGTGATTTCCATAACAATGAATTTCAGACATACAGTATGTTCCCCCTAACATACACGGAGAGTATAGTAGAGCCACTAAGGGCAGTGAAATTTCTAGTCGTCTCCCAGATTACAAATATGGTTGTTAACCTAAGATGCGATTTGTAAGAGATTAGAATATTTTAATAAGCGAATTAACGAGCACATTTACCCAAGTAAGGACTTGAATCAGAGATCATTTGAACCGAGGTGGTTACGTACATTCCACCTTGGTTGTTTCCGCTACTTGGTTATTCTTTATTGTGATGTCAGTGCATCAGCCTTAAGCCGTTCCTGGAATGAATGGCTGATTTTATGGATATAAGATGAGATATATAGTAATGCAGCAATAGTGGATTCACAAGCAGGAAAACGGGAAACCCGGATAAAAAGCTGCCGCGAACCCTCTTTGTACGCTAATTCCACAAGGATAGACCAATTTTTGAAACCCGGTCCCAGCAGTGGAAGGGGAGAGGATTGGTCATTAGACCACAGGACGCTCCAGATAGTTACCCGGTTATTTGACTTACACCTTATGCCGATCAGTGGCAAGCCACCCGATTGCACCTAGTTTTTAAAATCAATGGTGATTTTTCTTGCTCCTCCCCAAAGCGAACTCCTCCATTTTTGGCATATCTGCACCTCCTTCGTATTGCACTAATGCACCGGCAGGCTGACACCCGAACCATCTTAACTTCTACCCACTTGAAACTCGGCGGGGCAGCCCTGCAATATCAGAGCTACCAACCGTCTAGGATAGTACCATTTCTCAATTTCCAGTGGTTAGCGGGCTTTTGCCGCGACGAAGCCGAGCCCAACCGGGGGCCACCCGGACGAAGACCCGCGGAGAAGATTGTAAATCCTCGCCAGAACTTTTATATGTGGGACAAGGATACAAGGCCGTAGCACCAATGCTGTCCACTTCTCGGGAAGGATAATTGACGACTTATTATTACAAGCTTTCTTTTCATGACGCATTTTTCCTGGTTCGCTTCGTTTTCTTGTTCCTACCTGCCGCGTCGTGTACACCCATCGCTCAGCCTCTAAACGCGCCGTGGGCAGAGGGCGTCCCGCGAGAAAAGACTCGTCATTGCACACCTGCATCCACTAAACCCGTAATGGCGGCAATCCACGGAAGTTCCAGTGCTACACACGAATGACGCAAGACAAATGCCATTTCATGCGGATACGAGGAAGCAGGAAGGAGGAATAGTGTTTAAAGATGGAGACGCATACACGAGGCTATTATGGTAATACTAGGCACAACTGGCGTTCCCTAATTGTTTGCAAGGTCAAGATGACCTCTAGTCTCTTTCCTTTTTCTCGAAGCTTAATTGCGACAGATGTTTCACGTTTCACGTTTCACGTTCATGTTTTAGAATTATGTTTAATGTAGAGAGCAATATCTTCAAGATGACAATAGTCAGTTTAATAGCAAATATTTATATTTTCAACGTAACAAATACTATGCCATATGATCGTGACATACACTACGAGAAAATCTACACCTTTCGAACGTGCCGTTATATAAATTAACCTAAAAATATTTCCTTATACCACAGAAACTACGCAAAGCAGCCCGTCCCAAGAACTGTGTACGTGTGTGTAAAGATACTGTAATACGGTACGAGAAAACACTGTACAGGTACTTCATGACTAGATACAGGATATTTCATTTGCTCAACAGTCATCTCACAAACTCAGGATAAAAGTACATAATCCCATGTTCTTCAACACAAAAGCAGTTCATTAGAGAGCCATCACGTTCCTTTCAGAATGCAAGAGACACCCCAGAGAAGTTGAGCTTCTCGTGTGTAATGAGTTCGGCGTAGGCTGGGAATGGAGTCGTCTCCCAAAGTTGATAAATCTCGAGAAAGTTTAACAACAGCAGCAGCAACAGTGATTTTACATAATTTGAAAACGGCACCTGTCGAACAAACTTCTTTATTATACCACGTTAAATTTGCTACGACTGGAAATTTTATTAACAGAAACGTTCATCGACATGCCAGAGGCCGAAAATATCTCTTATTGTATTAATGAATGTCCTTCTCTTCATCCAGTTTACCAATTAATGTCATTTTCCGTTGTTTGTGGAACAAGCACGTAGAGAGTGCGCAGTGTTGTTATTTTTTATCTTAAAGATATCTACTTGCACAACAAAGCACTTGCATGATACGCAGAATTTTCCTTTATGGTAATCGAATATACAAATGAACGATATTTTATCTTCAAGTCACTTCCTCATTACTTCACTGACATTGCGTCACCGTTCTATTTCAAGACTTTTTGAAGGCGTAATCTCCAGAGTAGGCGATTTATATTTATGACACTTGTTGATCGTTTTGAGTTCAAAAATTTATTGGGAAACCTCTAGGAACGTGTCATAACTTCTCGTACGATAAATGAACTCTGTGGCATTGGACATTTTTTCTAGTTAAGATTTAAAATTTAGTTAAGATCTAATTAACATTTATATGGAAACCTCTAGGAAACTTTCTTCTAGTTAAGATTTGATCGCAATTGTTATTGTAAGTTTTATTAGGGTCACTTAGCAGACAATCACTTTTTTAACATTTTCTAACTAATATTTTCCCTCCAAATGTAGTTTTGTAACAAAATGTGTTTAAAACTCCAAATTCATTTTAAATTGTCATACAAATTATTAAAGAATCAAAATGTATTAAATTGAAGAAACGCGCCAAAGTAAGAGTAGACTGACAGCGTCCTGAAGGTACATTTTAGTCGTTCAACCCTTCTTGAATTAATTATTTATGTCTTGTTGACATGAGCTTGTATGATTTATGAATTGATAACACACATTTTATAGCTTATTGTCAAGATATTAGATGCAAATGAAATCGCAAAGAAATAAAGAACGGGAACAACAAAGTAATTTGTAATTTCCACTTCAAAACAAATTATATATATATATATAATTAATAAAGATAATTTTTTGGGCATGAAAATGGTATCTGTCAAATCATTTCTAGAACTTATCATGTACGTAATGAAGATATATATTGTACAACAAAACTGAGGTAATACACCAGCTCGCATAACAGACTCTGAAAACGAAAGCAGTAAATGTGGATGAACATCCTGATACCGGAATGATGAACTGCGAAATGTTAGAGACCTACAAGACCACGCCGTTCGTCATCTACAAAATATGTGACGTTAGAAACGACGACAGCCAAAGAAACTCTCAGTACTACTGAGAGAATCTTCACGCTTCACAACTGCCGTGCCGCCATCCTCGTCCCTGAGCCCCATAAGCAACATTGTCCTCGTAAAAAATTTATGCTCTGTTTAATATCGCCATTTGTACAAGAAACGTGTCATTACAAAAACGCCGTTTTTGTGTTAATGAAGTAATATGCTTAGAAAATAATGTATTTATCATTTCTCACATTATACTATCGTAGTACGGAAAAAGTATTGTAATGCTATGACCCCCCATAAAAAAGGCGAATTTTCCATAGAAAAACTCGGATACTCTTGTATCTAAATACTGCTAACTACTTCCTCTAGCAAGTGTACTCAGAATTAATGTTCTGCTAGTTTTTGACACTAAAATATTGGTTGACGGTTGTTTGAACGTCTTTCCGAGTGTAAGGCTGGATCCTAAACAGGAAGTTATTGTCTTATCTCAGTTGCGAAAATCCGTACAGATTATTTTCTCCAAAACTGATACACCCCTATTGACTATTCACTCCAATCAGTAAGAGATATTTGATTTTTTAAGTACTTTAAATAAAGCCGTTACATTTTCAAATTTGTTTCAAAAATGCTTAACACTTAATATTTTTATTAAATTGCCTTCTTAGGATAGAACGAAAGACGCTTAAAAAGTTGTCAGTTCTATAAAATTAGACCTTTAAATAAAATAAATGTTTTATTTGTTGAAACATGTTCAATTTTTTAAAAAATGTTTGAGTATTTTCGCGTCATTTTTGCAACCTTGAACAAAATAAATTCGAATTTCCCGCGCTTGTTCTGCCAGATATCAGGTCGCAATGATAACGACGGGACACGACAGTATTAAAATCTACGAATTCCTTCGCTTTGAAGGTCGATAATGTTTCCCGCTGTGTGGACCACATTGAGTTTTGCATTGCCGAATTTATATTGAAGTAGTATCTGTAAAATAAATCGCTTTCGCACATGCACTACGATTTATAACCAATGACTGAGATACGCTACTAATGCCAGAAAGTACGGTACATGTTATTACAGTACCAGTTATTACAGCACCAGTGACTTTAGCAAAAATATTGGCATTTGACTTGTACATATATTATATTACAGAAATATTAATAGTAAACATTGATAGTATACTAAGAAGTCTCAAGTGTCCACAAAGCCACAGATATATAAACACTCTTTGGCCGCAAAATCAAGCGGACTCCGCTCTTAACACAGTTCGTCGAAATGTCAATTTTTGAGATGTGTTCCTTTTTGGGGCACAGACAACTAAATTTTCTCAGAGCTAATTTTGCCAGCAGTTAGCATGCGTGCGAAAGCAGATGTGCTGCTCCTTGAGAAGTGCAGTCGCGTCGCGCATTTGCATCGGTAGAGGAGGGGGAGGGGCAGGCGGCGGTGGCAACGGCCTTGATGGGACACAACGTCCCGCATCAATCGCTCTCTCCGCACCGCCATGCCCGTCCTCCCCGACGCACCCCACCAACCTCTCCCCGCTCCGCCGCGCAACGCCACGCTCCTCTTCGAGAAACTCCTTATCTCGACGTGCACGCACGTCACGTCCACGTCGCGTCGCGTCGCGTCCACGTCGCGTCGCGTCGCGTCCACGTCGCGTCGCGTCGCGTCCACGTCGCGTCGCGTCGCGTCGCGTCGCGTCGCGTCCACGTCGCGTCGCGTCGCGACGCGTCCACGTCGCGTCCACGTCGCGTCGCATCGCGTCGCATCGCGTCGCGTCACGTCGCGTCGCGTCGCGTCGCATCGCATCGCATCGCATCGCATCGCGTCGCGTCCACGTCGCGTCGCGTCCACGTCGCGTCGCGTCCACGTCGCGTCGCGTCCACGTCGCGTCGCGTCGCGTCCACGTCGCGTCGCGTCCACGTCGCGTCGCGTCCACGTCGCGTCGCGTCGCGTCCACGCCGCGTCGCGTCCACGTCGCGTCGCGTCGCATCGCGTCGCGTCCACGTCACGTCACGTCATGTCCACGTCAAGTCCACGTCACGTCCACGTCGCGTCACGTCCATGTCACGACACGACACGTTCGCGTCACGTCTCGTCACACGCAACCCCACACCGCTTCTCCATATTCTATCCTGCCACGGCAGGCTCCGCCCCCCCCTCCCAATCCCGTACGCCAACGCTCCTCCCCGCCAAACACTTCCCTAATACGCCGTGCATGTTCACACCAAGCCACGCTCAACAAACCCGCCATGCCCTATCCTGCCACTACCGCCTTGCCCTATCCTTTGAGGAATCTAGGCTGCATTCCTCTGTGATGCTTGAACGTAATCCTGAATTTGAAAATACACGTTTTTTTTCGAGGAAGATAAGGAATTAAATAATATGTTTAGCATGTTTAATATATTGCTCAATTGTGAAATCAAACCGTTTGTCAAAAAAATTATTTGTTTGAAAAGTACTACAGCGCTCTTATGGCCTTGCGAAGGACTTTAGTCTGCACGATTTGGAAACATTTTCGTAGGGACGGAGCAGCTCCACCACATTCAGGACATGCACAAGTAAGAAGAGGGCGATGAACATGAAAATGCACATGCCGCTTTGTTAAGCATTCTATTAAAGCTTCAATGTTTGCAAAACATTGATGTCTTCATAAAATCATCACAAATTCAATCCATAATTTGAATATACTTCAGACCAAAGTCACAAAATGCGCTATGACAAAGTGCGTCGCACACCAACACCCACATACACCTACCCACATTCACATACCCACACCCACATTCACATACCCACACCCACATTCACATACCCACACCCACATTCACATACCCACATTCACATACCCACATTCACATACCCACATTCACATACCCACACCCACACCTACAAAACCAAACTTCAGTGATTACATATAAAGTTTTTCAAAACATTCATGTCTAATAACATCCATGGTTTTGGACCTATGTTTTATTAAAATCGATGTTTCAATTTCAAGCATCGATGTTTTAATTTCGAGCATCGTTGTTTTGTTGCCGATCTGGCACCCCTTCCTTTGCCTCGCAGGTGGCAACCTCTCCTTCGCGGTGGTGGCAGCGGTCGCGAGGAGCCGACACGGGCGCGGGCGCGGGGCGTACGGCACCGCGGGAGACGCCCCACTGCCTCCGCCCGCCCGCCGCCCGCGGAGACGCCGAGCAAGGCGGAGCGGCGCGGCGCGGCGCGGCGCGGCGCGGCGCGGCGCGGCGGCGTTGCCACATGCCCCTCTGCCCGCCTCCGCCGCAAGGGGGTATTTGCTCTCCGTGTTATCTTCTCGAATTTCTCTGCAGCAGCGCGGCTTTCCAACCCGACTCCATTTGCCTTCCCCCAGGCTAAGAACATGCGTATTCGTTTTGCGGGCATTCTTCGTATTTTTCTTATCGAATTCGTCACCTCTGATTTCCCCCTCACACATTATTTGGTCGATTCGGTCGTTGTTCATTTTGCACATATTAGTTTCTTTCTTTATCGCTTTTCTTTTTAATTAAAATAAATTATTTATTACTTCAAATACTAAGGTTACGATATTCGTTGTTCTTTCGTTTAGCGAGCACCTTAAACGATTTTTCACAGTGATTTTTTGTGTAATGATTAACATAAGCTTTGAAATAAGTTTTTTTACAATAATGGTATTTTTCTTTAGTTTAACAATGAATTATTAAATGAGTATTTTAATCAATGGAAGGTTTGGTGATACACTGACGTGATGGGGATCTTTGAGGAAATATCCTCAATTTATTGGAGCGAAGACTATTCATCGATGATCTTTTCCCAGAAATTTTTACTATTAGATTTATCATTTTTACAAAAACGTCTTAAAACCGCACTCGTTAAAGGCATACGATACAATGAAGTAAACAGTCTGAATGTACAGAAACTTTAACTTCAAATTTTCAAATCGTGTTCAGGGATGGAATAGAAATGATTTACACATGTATCCTTTGAATTTACATTCCACTACAGATTTTACATTCAGGGCTTGAGGAGGTCTTTCCGAAATCGTACGTTCGTAGGTAGAGAAAGCATTTCCGTAAGTGCAGAATAGTGGCCAATGGAAAGCGCGCTTCAAAGGACAACTGCAGCATCTCCCAGAAACTGGTCAGACGAATGCCGGAGAGGACCGATCCGGGCAGCAGACGCCGGATTCTCCTCCGTCGACGGCGGCGTCTAAACCAGCTGCTAGGCCGAAAATCCTCCGTCGGGTCGCCAACCCCTAACCTCACGTTCTTTGAGGCGATCGAATAATACATACTAACAGTAACATAGCCAAGAGATGATACGTAAATTTGGCTAAAAGTCTTTATAGTTGCAGTTTTAAGCCTTTTAACGATTGTAACCATTTAACAGTGATTTGGTATTGTTTAAGACAAATATCCTTTTTTTTACATATTTTAGTTCCGAATGCTCGTTTTGCTATTTTGGCATAATTTTCTCGATGTATTATCCAACATAGACAAATACGAAGACTGTGTCGCTATTTGTTTATCTCTGAAAACAGCGGCGTGATATTAAAGTCTCTAACATGAGTTTAAGTTTCAGAAAATGTTAAAATTATCGGTAATGAAGTGATACCTGCAAAGGTTCTTTGACTCCTTTCATTCATGTCGATAATTTTTCTTCGACAACTAAGAATCCCACCCTATGTAAAAGTATAGTTTTTGACCTCTTGGAAATAATTTTGTCAGCATGTCCTTCTCTAATGCTAATTTATCATATTCACTTTTCTTTTTTTTCTTTTTTTGACAGAATGAAGGCATTTTTGCATGCCTATGAAATACATGCCTGACCGTCTGGGTTCTTGTCATTACACATAGGTTTGACCATACATTCGGAGGAGCACTGCAGTCCTGAGCTCCGTCGTCCCTACGAGGGAAAGGTGCTCTCCCGGACCCTGGCGACAGAAAGTGGCCACGTGACCGCAGCTCAAGCAGTCCCTGCAGCCGCGGCCGCTGGCTACTCTTCAACTAG